CACGCGCAACGGACACACGCGCACGCTACCGGCCCGTCATCAAACCGCCACTGGACATGGCCAACCCCGAGTTTGAGAAGCGGAGGCAGACGCCACGCGAGCCGTTGGATTACATGACATCCAACATCCAGGCTGTGCGCAGGCAGTCGCAGATGAACCACGCCACGCGCGCCAGCCAGGCCGAGAATGTGCTGTACTACGTGCCGGACGAACACCACCACTACAGCAGCATGAGGCGAAACACGTCTGTGCTTGCACGGGAACACCTCAAGCACACGCTGATTGAGCGCCACGGCGGAAAGGGCCTGTTCTCATACAGCGACACGCACCACGTCAACAATTCGTTCTCCGTGGCCGACAGCCCAGAGGCGGCTCAGAAGGTGCGAATGGCAGAGCGTGGAGAGCCGTGGCAGTCGAGGGTGTGCGTGAACTAGGGTTGTGGTGTGAGAGTGCGTGTGTGTGGTTGTGTGAGCGAGTGCTGGGACAGATGTGTGTGTGCTGATGAGAGAAAGGAAGAGAGAGCATGTGTGTGTTTGCGTGTAGATGCATGCGTGTGTGTGTGGTGTGTTGTGTGCGCTTGTATTCCATGCAATCACTCAACGTGCTTCTCCTGAAATGAGCTCTCTCTCTCTCTCTCTGCCTGTCTCTCACCAATCCACGCACCCACACCCACACCTACACACACCCACACACCCACACCCCCCCCCACACACCCACACACAACCGACCACGTGCGCACACCAACAGAAGGAGCGCCGTGCATCTGAGCGCCGCTTCCGCACACGCAATGGCTTTGACACCAACACGCGCGTCAGCGTGGACCTGAGCCGCCCAACCGTCAGCACGATCCGGGAGCCAGAGGAGTATGATGAGTCACTCGTCAACCGCGCGAAACTCACGTTTGACAGGAATCCACTTCCGTGGCAGGAGCGCCATAAGGACATGCGTGTGCAGTCGCGTCGCACCTCCTCTGTCCCCGGTCACGTGCCCTCCACTCCATCGCAAATCTTCACGGTGCGTGTGTGTGTGTGTGTGTGTGTGTGTGTGTGTGTGTGTGTGTGTGTGTTGTGTGCGGTCGTGCACGCATGTTCACGTTTATCACAACTTGCACCCCGATGTGTTTTGCCCCAATGCCAAGTCTCACTTTGCGGTCACGACCCGGTGTTCCATGTGTACAGTCACATGATGACGAGTCAGAAGCCAGGAGCCGTGAGAAACAGGAATGGCAGTCAAAGCTCGTTGTGCAGGACACCCGCTTCCGCGTGTTGCAAGGCACAGATCGGGACAAGCCCAGCACAGCCACGGTATCCACACGCGGCCGTCCTTGCTTCGCTCACTATTGTGCATGCGTGTGTGTGTATGTGTGTGTGTGTGTGTGTGTGTGTGTGTGGACGATGTGAAATGGTTCAAGGATCCATAGCAGACGCAATACAACGCATTCAAATTATGACTCTTTGTCTCATTCATCTCACTGTCTTTTCTCCCTGTCACTACATTTGTGTGGCTGTTTTAGGCGGACAAATATCAAGACCTTCTCCGCGATCCCCCAAGAAAGGTGATGCGAGCAGCCGTGCGTACGTGTGTGTGTGTAAGTGTGTGTGTGTGTGTGTGTGTGTGTGTGTGTGTGTGTGTGTGTGTGTGTGTGTGTGTGTGTGTGTGTGTGTGTGTGGAAGTGTGGAAGTGTGGAAGTGTGCGCGCATCTGAGCGTACATGTGCGCGCGCTTCTTGCGCACATGGCCTTGATGTCTAGCGTTGCGCTTATCCTCATGATGTATGTGCGTGTGTCTGTGCGATTGGTTGGTTTTGCAGGCGTCGTTTCGAGCTATGCGCTCTCGTACGCGTCGCACCTCCATTGCCCTCGACGAGCAATACGCAGACGTGCGTTCGACAACTGCGTGCTTGCCTGTGCTCGCATGCGTGCAAGTTTGTATGTGCTTGCATGTGTTTTCAATGTTTTGTTCCCATGAATGGAGGACACCATCACAATGTCGACACTCACGTCATGTACAATGCCTGTGTGCCTGTGCTGTGTGCGTGTGCGTCTGCGTTTGTATTTGTGTTACTGGGTGGCAGAAACCGAACGAGCCTTTAACGCTTGGGCACGGCACAGCACGCTCCAGCTATGTTCCAATGTGATGGCTGCAGACGCTGTGTGCACTTGAAAGGAACACCCACACACTTGTACACTGTGCGTATGTGTGTGTGTGTGTGTGTGTGTGTGTGTGTGTGTGTGTGTGTGTGTGTGCGTGTGTGTGTGTGTGTGTGTGTGCGTGCCGTTTCATATTGTTGACTTGGTGTTGTTTTTTGTTGCATGTATGTTTTTCTATTTGATGTGGTGCATCAAATCCACACCTTACCCTGTGTTTTGTTGTTTTCTTCCCCCTCAGCAGCTTACTTGCTTGTTTCAGTCATGATACCATGTCTTGCATGCACGTACGACCATAATCGCACAAAGTGGGACACCTTTGCTTTCTTTGACGAGTGCCTTCTGTCGACATGGTGCCATCTTTACCCCGCTTCCATCTCGGTTACCCCCCCCCCCTTTTCTCTGTGTGAATGAATACCACAGTGGACTGCTGATCTCTTGCTCTGTGCTAGTTTGGTTATTGAATACCACCACAGCGTTGTCCCCACCCCTTCTTCTTTTGTTGCTTGAATGTACACAAGTGACACATTGAACGGATTCTCGAGGATGTTAATTGTTGTCTGCAAAGGCGTCACACGTCACCATCATCAAATCATTTCAGTCAAGTTGCATAAACAGCACAAGGCATCTGGACACACAGAGAACAAATACTCTCTCACTCACTCACACACACACACACACACACTCACACACACACACACAAACACACACACACACGCGAGCGTAACCATACGCATTCATTCTCTTAACACACCCGCACGCACGCACACACGCATGAGCATAAGCAATCACTCTCTGTCACGCACATATGCGTGCACTCATCAAAAGCCCATCACAGAGATTCGCGTGTCAATGCAAATTTGCGTGCATGTCGTCAGTCGTCAGCCTGATCGTCTTGGTCCTCCGCTGCCGTCTGCTGCTCGTCCAAAAGCGGCTGCAGGGACACGTACCGGCTCCCACCCGACTCCCCAGACTTGCTCGCCTTCTGCGGTTATTGTGCGCGCGTGTGTGTGAGTGAGTGTGAGTGTGAGTGTGTGAGTGAGTGTGAGTGCGTGAGTGTGCGAGTGTCCGAGAGTGTGTATTTCAGGAAATGCATTTGTGCCAGTGCGAACGGAGGAAGAAGACCACAAGCAACAACGTTGCACACACACACACACACACACACACACACATACACACATACACACACATACACACACACAGAGGCACAACGTGTTGCTGCTTACCAGCGCCCACTGCAGGAATTCCACCCATGTCTTCCTGTCTTGGAGGGTGTGTGCAAAGAGACGAAAGGTTCGCTTGGGAAACGCAATCCTGCAACAGCAGCGTAGATTCGTTTACAATGTGAGCGCATGGGAAAGAAAGAAGCAGAAAACAAAGAACAAGCAATGGCCCAGACAGACACACACAGAGACACAGACACACACACAGACAGAGACACAGACACACAGACACAGACACAGACACAGACACAGAGCAGCTCACCCGAAGCCGAAGAGGTCTGGTCGCGGCGCATCAATCGTCGGAATGACATTTTCTGCGAGGTTGAGCGGGATTGTGCGAATGGCTTGCGGTGTCTGATGTTTGTGCAGGATGGTAGTGATGGTGGTGTAGGCGCGGTGTGGGAGGGAAGAGTGAGCACATGTGGAGACGATGACATCAACAATTGTCGTACAGCTGTGAGTTCGTCGCGCGTCCACACACGCACACACACGCACACACACGCACCTGTTGGGATTTGAAGTATGCAAAGTTGGTTGAATCGACCACAAACCACCTCTCCTTCAAGTTCTGTAATTGGTGTGGCAGGTGAGACCACACATGTCAGGGTCCAAAGACAAACAGCAAAATTGTTAGCAATCACACCCAAGCAAGCAGGGCACGAATGCCTCCAAGACCCTCCCCTTCCCCCCACACACGCACACGTACCCACATACATACACACACACACACACACACACACACACACACACACACACACACACACACACACACACACACACACACCTACCTTGACGACCCTGCCGCGCTTGACCAGGTATCCCTCGCGTGCACCGCTGGCAAGTGACCGCTGGGGCTCGTCCGGTTCCCTGCGCGTCTGTACAAATCGATGCGCCTCCCCGCCAATGGGTTTTGCTATCTGTCAGACATACAGAGCGTGAACGTGTGCCCAAAACAACACACATGCACATGTGCACACACACACACACACACACGAACACAGAGCATGAGCGGTCGCACAAGAAAACACACACACACGAGATGGATGAAAGGTGGGCGTGCATATTGTGGCGATTCGGGCTTTCAAGGCAGGACATTTATTACAGAACACGTGCAGCACAATCACAGGACGCACTTGTGCAAAGTTCTTTTCCTCTGACGTCACGCGGTTGTATGGTGTCTCCAACACCGTGACAAAGCCTGCAATATCACACACGCGCGCATGCATGCAGAGATAACAGACCCTTCACGTGTCAGCAGTGGGTTAATTCGCAGAAGATGAGGGACAGGCATCGCTGCTGCAACTCCAACACACACACACACACACACACACACACACACACACACACACACACACACACACGAATGCAAGCAGAGGCAGTGAATGGTTGCTGTACCTGATACGCCTTTGAGGGCTGGTTTGGCAGCCACGTGTTGCACAAACTCCTCCAGCGTGCTGAACTCCCGCGATCCCAAGCGATACGACTTCTGTAAACACGTTCATGGGCGTGCATGGCGTGAATGTGTGCAGGATATGCAGGTGTGCGCTGCGTTGGTGTCAATGCAGGGAGGTACGATCAAGATCTCGTGGTGGGCAAAGTCAAGGCGGGTGGCATGGCAACGCCAAGAACGTACCCCGTCGGGACAAGGCGACACTTCAAAGTGTTGTACTGAAGACTGACAGCGCACAGACATCACGTAGCCACGTGCACTCGAGCTCTTGCGAAGCAAATAGCTGCAAGGATCAAATCAATTGCGCCAGGATGCATGAACACATGTATGTGAGCGTGCGTATGTGTGTGCGTGTGTGTGTGCGTGTGTGTGTGTGTGCATGTGTGTACATGTGTGTTTGTGAGTGAGAGAGTGAGTGAGTGAGTGAGGTGCGTAAGAGTATGTGAGTGTGAGTATGTGTGAGTGAGAGATGTGTTTGTGATCGCCTGCGACTCAATGTATGTATGTGTGTGAGCGTGTGAAGGTGATGACATGATCCCACGGGTCTTGTGTACCTTCCACTGACGCCGTTGTCCAACAACATGACTTCCGCCAGATGCCGATCTGTTGCAGGATGGTACCACCTTTGGGATGGCAACCAGCACACAAACCGTGCATCGTGAGCACCAGCTACAGTGCTGGTCGGGCGTGTGTTCACGCGCTGACGCTGTGTACTTCAGTCACACGAAACCCCCCACCCACAAAAACCACGCACACGCATCACACGTACGGTACAGCCTGGAGGACAGCGTTGGTCCATGCCTCCTCACTGTCGTCCTGTGTCGTGGATGTCCTGCCAGTCAACAGCGCATAGCCTCAAACGTCAGTCATGAACGATTGCCTCAGTGGTAGTGGTAGTCGTGGTGGTGGTAGTGGTGGTGGTGGTGGTGGTGGCGTTTGTGACAGGGCAACGAACACACACACACACACACACACACACACACACACACACACACACACACACACACACACACACACACACACACACACATGCACGCACACACACACGCACGCACACACACACGCACGCACACACACACGCACGCACACACACACACACACACACGCACACACACACACACGAACAAGCAACACGGCAGCTCGATGCCCCTAACGATGGGTCGCACACGCACATGATCTTGGGGTCAGTGAGTTTGGTCTTGTTGGTCTGTGACGGTGGTGCAGCGGACAGCTGAGGACGGAAGGACAACAAACACAAAACAAGCAAGCAAGGAGTGGAGACAAGCAAGCTGGCGAATGCAGGGTATTGTGGAGGATTGAGAGAAGATATGCATTAGTTTTCTTCACTGAGTCTGACACGGACAACGATGATGACGAAGAAGGCTTGTGTTGTTGGTGGTGTTGTTGTGGTGGCGGTGGTGTTGGCGGTTGTGTCGACAACGCTTGGAGATGAAGGCGCCGTGCGTGCAACGTCCAGAGTCGGTGCTGTGGTTGGCGAAGACGGAGGGGAGCAACGCACGAGCATGGAAGCAGGGGGTGCATGGGAGGAGTTGCCTGACTTCTCTGGGCCCGATGCTGACACACCCGTTTGCGCATCGTCGTTGGATGAGTGTGCGTGTGCATCTCCTGGAGTGTGCACCGCCAGTTCGTCAGCGGTAATAGCGCGCATGCAGGCAGAAGCAGAAATGCCGACAAAAGCCGGGGACACCACCCCCACTGCAGCTGCTGATGACGGTGCGTGGGACGAGCAGATGACGGCGAAGCAGAATGGGGAGGGAGCACCTCCAGGCCCAGAAGAAGGGCCAGGCCGCAGCAGCGGACACGCCAGATCAAACAGGGCCAAAGCAAAGGAAAATCACCGCACCGCCGGCATTATCGAGGACAAGAAGGCCAACGCCATCCTGCAGCGCATGCAAGCCCTCCGACAGCGGCAGGGCGTGGCTCCCGACGTCGGATCCAGCGAGACGGACAACCACGGCAGTGACAGCGGCAGTGATGCGAGGCCTTCTGGCAGCGACAAGCAAGCCGCAGTGGACCTGCAGTGGGAGTGGCAGCATATTGCCGCTGTGGTGTGTGTCAGCTGCGGCTTCCTTCTCCTGTTCTACGCCGCGCACAAGCGCCGCAACCTTCAAGTCGTGCAGGCCAACAAGCAGCTGAGCAACCTGCAGGAGCGCCTGCGCCGCGTTGACGAGGGTGTGCAAGCCGAGGCAGCCGCGGGCACGACGACATTCGACTCCCTCGTGGCCCACGCGCAGCATCTGCAGAAGGCGGTGGAAGCCGTGGACAGCGTGATCTGCAACCGGGGCGATGAGGCGATGCAGGCTGCCGTGAAAGAGGTCCGCAGCCACGCGCTGTCGCTGCTGGAGAACGTGCTTCGCACCGCGTATCCGCTGGCCAAGGACAACGGCGAGCAGCTGCAGGCGCTGCTGCGCTTCACCACGCACGCCGACCTCAAGGACCTCCGCGAGATGATTGACGCGCGAGAGGCGGTGCTGCTGGACAAGGCGGCTGTGTCAGACCTTCGCCAGCGGGCGGCGGCAACAACAGACCCGAGCAAGCGGCTGTCGCTGCTGAACCAGTCGCTCCGACGCGCAACACAGGCGCAGCTGTTGCATGAGGCCGATGACGTGATTCGAGAGACAACCACACGCGAGAAGGACGTGTTCTTCAACGAAATGCACCGGCTGCTGGGTCGCACGGACGGGGAGGGGCACCGTGCTCTCGGCAGTGGCAGTGGCGGTGTGGCACATGGTGGTGGTCAGGGCAGTGGCGGTGGTGGTGTGGCACATGGTGGTGGTCAGGGCAGTGGCGGTGGTGGCCACGTTCATGGCGATGCTGGTGGTAGTGATGGTGACCAGCCAACGATTGAGGAGATTAGCGATGAAGAAGACGAAGAAGACGTGGAAAGCATTCACACACGTTCAGCCGACGGTGTTGCTTTTGACGGCACTGAATCGACAACCACGACAACGACCCATGCTGAGACGCACGCGGTTGCTGTGTCACACAAATCACACACCACCAATGCCAGCAGCAGCAGCAGCAGCGGTGGTGGCGGCGGTGGTGGATATGGCGGCGGCGTGCTTCGAGGCGACCAATTGATTGGCATTGTGCAGACGATGACACGCGATGGAGCGTCGCAGCTTGAGGTGGAGCAGGTGGCTGCCCGTCTCAGGCAGCTCGCACAGCAGCAGGCAGACTTTGTTCTCGAGCTGTGGAAGTGCGTCATGTGGTGCTCTCTGTGTGTGTATGTTTGTGTTTTGTGCGCGCGTGTGTGCGTGTGTGTGTGTGTTTCGTGCGTGTGTGCGTGTGCGAACATGTGTGTGTGTGTGTATGTGCTCGTGTGTATCATGTTCGTGCATTCATGCTGTTGCGTTGTGTCTTCAACCGCTTGCGCATTTGTGCGATGCCTAACTGGAACACACATTTCACACGAAACCACTCACCCCCCCCATCGCTCCCCCCATCGCTCCTCCATTCCATTTGCACTGTGCGTGCGTGCAGGAGCCACCAGGAGCAGCAGCGGCATGCGGAAGACCTGAAGCAGCGAGCAGAGGAGCACCGCTCGCGGTACGAACAGGAGGAACGCAGAATGCAGCGCAGACAGGAGGAGGTGCAGGCAAAGCTGGCAGCAAAGCTCAACAGGATGCGGGCCGAGATCAGGGTACGCAATGATGATGACTACAACGACCATGATGATGATGATGATGGTGGTGGTGGTGGTGGTGGTGGTGGTGAGGTCGGGTGCATACACACCTTTTTGTTTTGTTATTCTTGTTGTTGTTGTTGTTGTTGTTGTTGTTGTTGTTGTTGTTGTTGTTGTTGTTGTTGTTGTTGTTGTTGTTGTTGTTGTTGTTGTTGTTGTTGTTGTTGTTGTTGTTGTTGTTGTTGTTGTTGTTGTTGTTGTTGTTGTTGTTGTTGTTGTTGTTGGTGTGTGTGTGTGTGTGTTTGTTGTTACTCATCCACACCTCCATTACCGGCACCACCCGCCAACAAACACACACACACACACACACACACACACACACACACACACACACACACACACACACACACACACGTACACATACAGGCGACGCATAAGCAAGAGGTGGAGGCGCAGCAAGCGCGCATGCGCACGACACATCACCAGCACGTGGTGCGCATTGCGTACCTGCAGCTGGTGATTGCCGTCGCCGTGTACATCATTTCATCATGGAACCACTGGTTCGCGCAGCAGCAGGCAAATGCTTCCGCATGCCCAGCGCACCCATTACATCATGCTGGCACGACCTCGTACGTGCGCGCTGCATACCGCATGCTCGGCGATCCTGACATCCTCACGAACGTCATTGCAGACGTCATCAAACTCGTCATCTGCAACACCATCATCACGTGCAAGGTGGCAGGATTGCTGCAATTGTAGCTGAAGTTGTGCGTACGTGTGTTTGTGCGTGTGTGTGTGCGGATGTTGTTGTGTGTGTTTGTGTGTTGTGTGTTGTGTGCGTGTGTGTGTGGATGTTGTGTGTGTGTTGTGTGTGTGTTGTGTGTGTTGTGTGTGTGTGTGTGTGGATGTTGTTGTGTGTGCGTGCGTGTGTTTGTGTGTGTGTGTATGTTGTTGTATGTGGATGTTTGTGTGTACGGAAGTGTGAGTTTTGTCTGGGTCACTTTTTGGGACTGGAAATGTTGATACGTTCAGTCCCTGCTGGATCACCGCCTTACCACCATCTGCACCACCAATGATTCACCTCCAACGACTCACATCCACCTCGCCAACTCACTTGTCACCATCAGGGCTACGCGAGTCTTGTGCTCGCACTTGCACTTCTCATTGGCAACGCAGCGACGCTTGTGCTGTTTGGCACGAAGCTTGCGTCTGTCACGCTCATGGCGACTGCTGCCGTCATCACGCTGTTGTACGGTCTCGCCATTGTGCAACACCTGATTATCCCGCTTGCAATTGCGTTCGCCCTGGACACCGTCTGGTGGTTTGTTCACGAGGTCAGCTGACTCGTCAAGCTTGCTTGGTTGCCTGAGTGTAAGAGAGAGAGAGAGAGAGAGAGAGAGAGAGAGAGAGAGAGAGAGAGAGAGAGAGAGAGAGAGAGAGAGAGAGAGAGAGAGAGAGAGAGAGTGTGTGTGTGTGTGTGTGTGTGTGTGTGTGTGTTCTGAGAGTGTGTGAGCGTGTGTGAGAGTACCTTTGTGTCAAAGAGAGAGAGAGTGTGTGTGTGTGTGTGCGTGTGTGTGATTTGAGTGTGTGTGCAAGTGCCTTTGCGGTTATGTTGCTTGTTTGCTCATGTCTTGATGCATGCATGCTGTTCGACCCAATTCCGTGCTGTTTTTAACTGCACTACCACGTTGTGATTTCACCGCACTTCCACGCCAACACTGACACCCACCTCACCATCCCAATGCGTCCCACCCTCCCAAACATCAAACACCAATCAACAGTGGCTGCTGTCGCAGGGTGTGTCGCGTGCATTGCACCACATCGATACAGAGGCCATCACCGCCGTGTCCCGCGCATTTGCGCACATGGAGTGGCGCGTGCCTGGTTCTGCCACCAACTGGTACCACCTCATCAACGACATGCTTGTTCCTGGCGCCTCCATCGCGGTCATGTTGGCTGTGCTGCTGCTCCAGCCACGCATTGCATAGTCAAGCAGCGGTGGTGGTGGTGGTGGTGATGTGTTTGTGTTGGAGGGGGGGGGGGAGGTTTCATATCGTGGCGTGTGGGTGTTACACGCTTCACTTGATCCGTGTTACCCGTGATGTGCAGTGTGATGTGATAGGATGTGACGAGACACATCACGACTCGAGACGTGTGTTACTTCTTCTTCCGGCCCTTTCCCGTCTGGCTGGTTCCTTTTCTTTGCTTTTTCTCGTAATGATGTTCACTGGCTCGCGCGTGTTGCGTGACACGTGGCCAAATATTCCACAAGTTACATGACACGATGAATGGCAAACGGCATGGCACGAAGCGCGCGCGCATGCAACAATACAAGTTCGTGGGCGCACGAGCGCCACTGAACACGCAGCTGCTCACACCGACGACACACACACACACATACACGCACACACATGCACACACGTACACACGAGGACAGAACAGACGTTTAAACACATGTGTGCGAACAACAGCAGAACGAGCCAGGTATCGTAACAAAGGAGAGAAGCCGACAGCAACGCACACAGATGCACAAGCACACACACACACACACAAACAGACGGACAAACACACACAGAGACACACACGAGAGGTACACGCACTGCCTAAAAGTCATCGACAATATCTGGCTGTTCACGCTGCATTGTCAGTCGCCGTTGCCTCTCCTCCTGCTCGCTCTTCTTCCTCTCCTCAAGCTGTACTTGTTTCCTCTGCAGAATGTCCGCCGCACTCACCCGCGTCAACTTGCTGTTCTGTGCACTCTCAGCATCCTGCAAACGAATGTGCGTGAGAGTAAATGCGTGTGCGAGTGTTTGTGTACATACGATAGAGGGAGTGTGTGTATGTGTTCATGTGTGTGCGTGTGTGTGTGTGTGTGTGTGTGTGTGTGTGTGTGTGTGTGTGTGTGTGTGTGTGTGTGTGTGTGCACGAGAGAGGGTGTGTGTGCGTGTGTGTGTATGCGTGTGTGTGAGTGTGTGTGTTTGCGATACGGTGAGAGAAAGCAAGCAACAAACATCAAGCAGTTGGTAAACTAAATCGGCAAATGTGAGACAGTCAAGAAAGGCCTGAGGGTGGTGATGTGGTTTCACCGGCCAATAAGTAGATGCTGGGAGAGCAATGCAGCCAGCGGTGCATGATGTGATAGATGCGGTGACGCATGCGGTTCTGAGACGCACCAGTTCGCCCAGCAGAACAACGTTCTCTCCGCGTACAATGACAATGCCTTGCTGGATATCCCCGTAATAGTCATCCACGTAAATGCGCTCAACTGCATCCTGGAACACAAGGTTGGCTGGTGTCACAGAGCAAGCAGTGCATATATTAGCAGGTGGACGGGCAAAGATTTAAAGGTACGCTCGATACAGGGACTGCCGACAGTATGTTGGCTTGTGCAAACGCAAATGAGTGTGTGTGTGTATTTGCACGGGTGCGCACGTGTTTGAGGCAGTCAAGTTGGATTCACCGGACCGTATACAAGGTGCTGTGCACTGCATTTAGTGTACACGAGCACCTTTGCATTCTCATTGGTGCCCATGCACACACACACACACACACGCACACACACACACACAGATTGTTCCACTCGGCGCACCGAATTGATCGACGGTGCGAAGGTAACCAATCAACTTTCTTCCATCCCGTAGCACGCAGATGAGGCATTCTAGGCAAAAGAACGCACACACATGCACGCACACACACACACGTACAAGTGAAGGCATCGGCGTGAGCGAGATCAACGCAAGTCATGGAGATGGGTGTGTCGAACTGACGACCAACGGGCACTTCCGTCCCGTAGCAAGCACACAGACACACACAGACATACGCATGCACAAACACAGACACACACACACATACGCATACACACACACACACACACACACACACACACACACACGCACACGCATGCATATGCATGCGCAGCGACACAAGACTCACTGTCGACTTCCTCCACTAGGGAAGCGGTGGCCGTCGGTGGCAGGGACATGGTGGTGTGGTTGTTGTTGGTTGCTGCTGGTTGTTGTTGGCGGTGAGCGAAGTTGTGAGTCGTGAAGATTTGCGAACAACACCGCCAATTATCAACACCTCACGCACGGGAAGAAGGCAGAGCAACAGCGGCGATGATGCAGCGTGTGCAGCGGGTGGTGGGTGCCGTGGTGCCTCGGTCCCATGCGCTTCACCTCGGTACTGGAGCCAGGGCAGCGGGGTCGTGCGTGGCTCCACCCTCTTACAGGAGAACCCTCACAGCTGCGGCACCAGCAGCACTGGCGCGAGCATGCAAGTGGCATGTGCCCTCACGTGTCGCTCGCATGCACACGTCCAACTCGTGTGCTGTGCCAGGGAAGACGGATAGCGAGAGCGACCCTGTGCTCGACCGCGTGGTCAACGTGGATGTGAGCAGTCTCGATGCAGAAGCAAGTAACACAGACCTTGATTGGCTGTCTCATCCGGACTTTGAGGACCCGCAACAATTTTCTCGCCACTACAAGGACGCGCTGGTGGAGTGCGGCGCAGACGCCATTGTCGCACAGGTGTGTCGTGCCGTGCCGTTTCACATGCACAGAACTGTACATCTCTCAGCGTGTTGATGTGCGATGTATTGTGTTTGAACGCCATACGTCTGTGCAGTCAGTCACACGTGCGTTTGTAGGTGTGTGTGTGTGTGCGTGTGTGTGTGTGTGTGCCGTGGTTCATGTATGTGATATCTGGCTGGCTGTGGTTGCTTGCGTTTGTGTCACGGTTCTCATGCACTGCTGTGCTACTGTGCAGACATTCCATGCCAGCTTTGCATCGCAAGCAGAGCTGACAAAGTTGCGCATCCAGCAGGTGAGCAGTGCATCCAACTCCTTGAAGTTCATTGCGATGCCCGCCTTGCGTGCAGTGCTGTGTTCTCGCCCACGTGCGCGGCGGCGGCTGCTGTGTTGAAGCTTGGTTGCAAGTTGTTGAGTCTTGACGCCCACCCACCCTCACCTCCAACATCTGTTGCCTTGTCCGAACGTGCTCTCGCAGGCAATTAACAAGGTTGAGGGCCGCGATGGCAACGTCGGCTCGACGGCTGCGCAGGTGGCTGCTCTGACTGCCCGCATCCAATCACTCATCCCCCACTTCCAGAAGCACAGAAAGGACAACCACGGGCGGTAAGAGAAAAAACAACACGATGGTGCTGTAAGGGTGCGGAGGGAATGGAGGGCGTGGAGGGCGTGGGGGGTGAGAGGAGGGGCAGGCAATCGTCAGAATTGTGTAAGCAAGCAAGTGGGTGGTGAACTGTGTAGACACCGCGTCCAAGGCAACCGATTGTCGCTGTCACCTCACCATGCTTATTGCATCCTCTTCCCCGTTGGGCCATGTAATCCTAACTCTTTCCCCATGTCACCCCTCAACCTTCCTTTTTTGGGTCATCAGGCGCGGGCTGCTGGCAATGGTGCAGAAGCGGCGCAAGCTGCTGCAATACCTCAAGCGCAAGGACTTCCCCCGCTATCTCGAAGTGCTGCAGACACTCAACATCCGGCCCGTGGCGGGGCTTAGGTAGACGTGGGGTGGGAGAGAGACAAAGACAGTGTTGGTGGTGGTTGGTGAAGTGGCTGGCGGGTGTTGGGCGCGAATGGACGTGCATGTGTGTTGCTGCACGTCATATTGTGTGCATGCTGTGTTTGTATGTGCTTGTGTCTGTGTGTGCTTGTGTGTGTGTTGGCAATGTAAGCATGCCAAAGTGAATACATTCATGCGACAATGCAACAGCTCAGCAGTCAAAGATCCACGTGGTCATTCAATGATAGGACACGGAAAGAGGTGGACACCGTGCAACAGCAGCGGTGGCGGGAGAGGATGACGGGTGTACAGACAGGCACGGGGTGGCAGCCATTCAAACACAAGGAAAGTTGCAAGGAAACTTGTACAGGTACAAATGGTACAAGGGCAAAGGGCATGTGGAGAGTGTGTGCGGGTAGAGAGCAGGGGCAAGCACAAGGCCAATCAATCAAGCAATGCAAGCAAAAGCAAGACACGGTGGGTTTGGGATGTGCGGTGATATGCGGTGGTGTGCACGCGGCAGTGAGGGCATCACATGTCACTGGAAGTTGGAAAACTTCTTCTTGAACTCCTCCTGGTAAAAATGGGGTGAAAGTGGTGGAGCATGAGTGTGACTTCGGTGTTTGTGCGGTTTGGGCAGAGGTGCGTCGGAGTGTACAGACAGCTGTAGACACAGATGTACAGGCAGCTGTAGACACAGATGTAAAGACAGATGTAGACACAGATGTACAGGCAGCTGTAGAGACAGATGTACAGGCAGATGTATAAACAAGGGATAGGCAGACAGACAGACACAGACACAGACACAGCCACAGCCACAGACACAGACAGACAGACAGACAGACACAGCACAGACACACAGCTCAGACACACAGCACAGACACACACACATAGACACAGGGCTCGCACCTTGCGTTTGCGGGCGAGTTCTGCTTCGCGCTTCTTCTCCTCTTGCTCCGCCTTGATCTCCTCCTCAAACTTGTTTGCTTGCGCCTGCTTTGCTGCGAGTGACTCGAAGAAGGATGCAGCACCCTTGGCACCAACCTCCGACACATCCACAGAGTCTGCAATCTGCGACAGGCCCTCTGCCTGCAGCTCTCCGCGCGCAGCCTGCCACGTGTGTGTGTGTGTGTTGTGTATGCGTGAGTGGGTGGAACAGCAGCAACAACCAACAGCTAGCAGCACAACCAACACACCAACAGCCAGCAGCAACAACCAACACTCAACAGCAACAACAACCAACAGCAATAGCACATGAATGATCCGCAGTGTTGACAGTACACACGAGGCTGCGGTGCTGCACAGCTGAGAAGACAGATACGGGCGCGCCCCCAGCACATGTGGGACTGCTGATTACCTTGTGGAAGATGAGGAGGAACTCGCGGAAGCTGATCTGTCCATCGTTGTCCTCGTCAACCTCTGAGATCATCGCCTTCAAGGCAACGTGGGTCTGCCAACAGGACACAGCGTCAAGCACAACGAGAGCAGCAGCAGCAGCACGGTCAGGGGCAGGAGCAGTGCACACGCGTGCATGACAGCAGTGGCAAGGAGGAACGGGAGGGCGTGCAGCTGAGGTGGGAGGGGCACTTGTGCGCGGCTACAGGCATCTTGTCAGGTTGTCTCACCTGTGGGTGTTCAAGCTTCTCCATCATGTACTTGAGCTCCATCAGGTCAATGAAGCCGTCCCGGCTCGTGTCGTACTGTGGTTGAGATGTAAACAGCAGGAGTAGCGCACGTGTACGTGTGTGAGTGAACGTCAGTGAGTGAGTATGTTGTTTAGTGGGCGCGCACGCACCATCATCTCCACGCATGATAATCTCAGTGAACCCATATCTCAGACAAGCGCACAGACACACACACAGACAGACACACACAGACAGACACACACAGACAGACACACACAGACACACACACACATGCACAGACACACACACACAGACACACACACACAGACACACACACACAGACACACACACACACACACACATACAGACACACACACAGACAAACACAGACACACACAGACACACACAGACACACACACACAGCCCACCTTCTTGAACATCTTCTCGTACTCCTTGATTTCCTTGCGGGTCATGTCCGGGAACTCCACATATGGGTTGAAGCGCGAGGAGCTTGCCATGGCAGGCTTCTCACCGCCCTCGTTGATGCGTGCGCGGCGCGCCAGCTTGTCTGCGAGCTCAGACATGGTGCCTGCTTCTTGCTTCACTTCTTGCTTGTTGTTTGTGTTGGTGGTGCTGAGCTGTTTTGTGTGCGGCACAAAAGAATGCAAATACACACACACACACAAACACACACACACAAACACACACACACAAACACACACACACACACACACACACGCCCTCTCCTTGTCTTTGCTCCCTGGCTGGCCGGCTGTCTGGCTGTATTGGATGAGGGTAACGCAAGGGGTCACAGCAGAGCAAGCGACACATACACACTGAATTGAGACACACACACACACACACACACAATACAAGAGGACAAGCAACAAAGGACGACGCATGAAAGGATGAAAGGGCAGACAAGAGAAGCAAGCAGACGATGATGCATGGTGGTGCGCGCAATGTGTCGGTAGTGAATGATGTGACGTGGTGAGATGTGACATGACAGGTGAAGGGACGGACGGATGGGGGACACGGCCAAGTAGGACGGCAAGTTGTGTACAAGTGCGCCCTCACATACTCAAGGCAAGCAAAGCAGAAAGGCACACGGAACGAAGGACAAAGAGCGGGGAAAAGAGCGAGAGTTTAGGGGGAGGGGGAGGGGGAGGGGGAGGCACGACAGGCCGCTGCAACAAAACAAGCACAGTGCTGTGCACATTCACACAAACACAAGAAGAGAGGGAACAACGGCGTTGCTTGGGAGGATAACACGCGCAAGTGCACAGGGGAACACAAGAAAAAAAAAAAAAAAAACAAAGGCTTTGGGTGAGGGTGAAGAAGAAGGTGGGAGGGGGCTGGGAGAAGAATGAGTGGGGGAAAGAGGCTGGGGGGGGTAGAGGAGCGTGATACATCCCAGATGTAGACCACACAGCCGCAACAAGAACAAGGCAATGCCACAGAGGATTGGCTGGCAGATAAAGGGTGAAGGGGGCAACAGACACACGAACACAAATGAACTTGTATGGAGGTACACATTGACTTGCAAACAGACACACAGACACATAGACACACACAGACACAGACACATACACATACGAACAATTAAAGCCAGACGGGCCGTAGAGCAACAATGAGGGCATCGTCTGTCTTCCCCGCGACACGGTGTCGCTTCTGCTGTTGTCGCAGGCGCGCACAGTCCACCTCAAGACTCTTGATCTTCTCTTGCATTCGCTGCACCTCAGCTTCCTCAGCTGCAATCTCACCACCACCATCACCACCATCACCACCATCGCCACCGGCGTGGCCGTTTATCCTCTCCCCGTTCATCCGCTGATCCGCGCCACCATCACCCGTGCAATCACCAGCACCATCAGCATTGTCGGCGGCGCCCGTGCCAGCCCCTGCATCCGCCCCATCTTGCTCCAGCCTTGCAGCTTTCCTCCTCTTCAGCTCCGCCTGCTTCTGTAGTAACGCCTCCGTTGTGTCGCGCATCTCAATCTGCAACGCGTAAAAGTCCTGTTCCCGCGCGTGCAGCGCCCGCGTCACCCACTTGAGGTAGTTTGACACGCGCACGACCATGGAGCGGCAGGGCACAGAGTCGAGGCTCTCAAGACGGCCGACAAGCTGGCGCAGCTCGCGAAGGTCTGGCAGGCGGGAAAGGTCGCTGTCAACGGAGGTGCGCATGGCTGGGTCGTCGTCAAAGTACGGCGCACGCAGGATCACGTCAATGATGTTGGAGAAGTCAGACTGCAGGATGTTGTCCGTGAACCCGTCTGTGGTGAGGATGACGATGCTCTGCTCCGTCAGCGGTTCGGAGAAGGTGTTGATATCGCCGTGCACGCCCATGCACATGGTGAGCTGCCCGCCCGTGTCCTTGGCGCTTGCGCACGAGCGCTGGTACCGCGACACGATGCGACACCCGCCGTCCGGGTCGACAACAATGGCGGAGGCATCACCGATGGTGGCGCCAACAAGCATGAGGCGGCCGCGTTGCGTGCGGTGACAGCTGGCAATGACGCCTGTTGCGCTGCCGCCCTCCGCCTGCATGTTTCCGCCAGGGTTGTTTTCCTTGGCGATGCACTGTCGGAAGAGGTTGTGCACTTCCTGATGCAGCCGCTCGCCCTCTATCTGGTGCAGACGATGCTTGTGTACAGCAAGCCATCGCAACGCGTATTCTGCAAACGCCTGCGCTGCGTATGCGTTCACACGGCCCCCCGCCGTCACGCCATCGAATACCGCCCCAAAGTTGGTTCCATCCCTGGACACGAATCACGCGACGAGTGCAAGATCACCACCATAAGACTGCGCACGTGTCGTGTGTACACATGTATGTGTACATATGTGTGTACATGTGTGTTGTGTGTTGTGTGTACATGTGTATGTGTGTGTGTGTGTGTGTTGTGTGTACATATGCGGATTGTGTGCGTGTGTGTGTTGTGTGTTGAGATAAATGTGTGCGTGTGCTGGAACAGCATCTACGGTACCTTGCATGACCAAAGCCGCCACGATCCATGTTGATGCCTGTGGGAAGTTTGTACAAAAAGTCGTAGTACTTTGGCGGACTGTATGTAGATCGATGTATGCATGAGAGGCATGTGCAAGAGAGCATTGGTGAGTGATGCCCGCCTTTCTGTTGGCGCCGATGTACACGTACGGACAGGCAGGCAGACAGACACAGACACAGACACATACACACACACAGGCAGACGCATACACAGGTAAAGACACAAGACACACATACACAGACATAAGACACACACACACACAGACAGACGCACAGACACAGACACACACAGACACAGATACACACGCAGACACACAGACACACACGCACGCACACACAAGACACACAACACAGACACAGGACAGCACAAGTGGTTGATGGGACCTTGTGGTGCCGTGGTAAAGGGCGGCGCCGTTTTGGCCAATCATCAGGCCTTGAGAGGCAAGGAACTCCCGCTCCGTGGACAGGATCACGGGATACCCTTCCTCATCTTGAACGAGTTCATCCTCTGTCGGCGCAGGTGGTGTGTCCGAGGTCGGGCTTGGCCCTTTCCTCAGCACAGCCTTCATCCATTCCATGATGGATGGGGTCGCTTGGGAAAGCTGTGTGTGTGTGTGTGTGTGTGTGTGTGTGTGTGTGTGTGTGTGTGTGTGTGTGTGTGTGTGTGTGTGTGTGTGTGTGTGTGTGTGTGTGTGTGTGTGTGTGTGTTTGTGTGTGTGTGTGTGTGTGTGTGTGTGTGTGTGAGTGTGTGTGTGTGTTTGTGTGTGTGTGTGTGTGTTTGTGTGTGCTCTTGTCCTTGTTATGTGAACTGAGCGCTGGCAGCCTTGTTGCTGTTGATGTCTCCCTCTCCGTTCTTCTCCTTTCCCACGCCGTTGGTTGCTGGTCAAGCAATGCACGCTATCGTTGCTCGCAGCTCGCGTGCATGTGACGCATGCGCCCACAACGCTGACACCGAGGAAAGAGGAGCAACACCTTCGGCGCTGTGCTTTGCTGTGCTGTGGGGCGCTTGGGGGCGAATCTGTGGCTCACAAGCAAGCAAAAACAAAACAAACACACACAACCAACAAACAGCAAAGCCAACTTGTGTGCTATTGGTTTTCCCTGGACCAATTTTTTTCTTGCACCATGTCCCTTCTTGATTTGAACGTGTGGTGTGGGATGATGGCGCGGCAGAACGATACAACCCCCGTCCCCCCCCCCCCCCACACACACACGCAGGCACTGACATTGGTGGCCCCCCCCACCTTTCGCTCTCTCCATGCGCAGGAGTGTGATGCTGGCTCAATCTCCGTCAAAAAAGGGGTCGCTCGCAGTTGGGTGTGCACGTGTTTAATCCTTCGTTGCAGCGCATCGCACAACAGGCGAATCAACTGTGGCGAGGAA